CACATTATGTCTAGATGAAAAATATTCCTGCTGATACGGGTTTGCAGCGCCGTCCATTTGTACTGCTCGGTCAGACCACTATGAATTGCCATTCTCCAACGGAAAGTCGCCATCGGGACATGGTGGTTGAACCTAACTTCAATGACCCTGCTGACTTCCAGCTGAAAAGCTGTTCCTCAAAGTTGGTGCAGAGGACGAATGAGAGATAACAGATAAAGAGCAGCAATACTCTGTGCGACGCGCAACAGTACTGCAAAGCGATTCGGATGTAAAGTCGTACTGTGTTAGCCGTGAAGGCAGCAGGATCTTGCCACAGGCAACCGGCATGTCAGTATTTATGTCACAAAGCAAACAAAAGCTAACGAATGTCCCTAACTGATGTCGTCAAGAACAGACCGGAACTTATCGTATCTCGACAGTTTGCTTACCCCTGCAGCCAACTGAGCTGTACTGGATGACGCTCATACAGCATCCACAGCTTCTGCTGCGAGGTTGGTTCATGTACAGAGTTCTGACAAACAACCTCGCCCCCCCAGGGCTGGTGGTTAAGATCAGTGCAGCAAGTTGATCCTAAAACTTTGAGCTGCTCGGGTAGCCTCAAGTCAAGCACCACAGCCATGCAGTCAGACTTTTGAGCCAGGGGCTATGGTTGAGGAACCTAATCGTCCACCCGTTTATGTTTGAGCGCCCTAACGGTATCTCAGCCCTCATACAGGCGTGAAATGTACGAACAAAAGTGTCTTCATACCACATGGGTAGTTTCCCATGGCAGGTAAGCACTACTATGTATTACTGATGTATTCTTGTCGATGACCTGGTTCATCAGCCTCTGACCGGATCCTCTTATTCGGCCCAGAACAGTCAAGTGAAATACCTACATGAGATGACTTTACATAGGAATTCGCAACGTACATATTCTACGTCCGATACCCTCACTTAGGCTTCGCTTGTAAATTTGATGCAAGTTGTCTGCGAAACATATCTAAGTCTGTAGCGGCGTTGGGCGCCTTGAACCCCTAGGTCTGGGCAACCTGGCTGTACCTCATCCCCCGTGCTTTCATTTGGCAGCATCGCAGCTTTGCGTCGAACGGGTGATAGGCCTGAGCTATCAAGATTATCAAGAGCTAATGACTAGTGCTGCGGTCTCACTCAGCCTCGAGGCTTAAAGCGTCTCGCTTTCTGTTCAGTTTGTTAGCTATAAACCGTGTACCAAGGTAGGCTGGTTCCAGCTGCTGCGGTTTTAGTCAACCGAATATGGCACATCATGCGGAATGCAGCTCTAAAGCACGAGCGCAAATAACTGGGTGATTCAACCATGTCTGTCAATGTCACTGATGAGTGGTCACAAACAGAGTGGATCTTGCCATGGTGTGGCGATTTGTGTGCCTCCATGGCCCAATGAGCCACATTGGGTGGTGTTCGCGCGGTACTCGGAACGTTTCTCACAACAGGTTGGGGTTGGAATATGTATGCCGACTTGTTCTATGAAAATCGTAATGCACTAACACTCTTCGCCAAACACCGCTACCTTGCGGCTGGGCTTCTGAGCCAATGGCTTTGGTCGAGTACCCTAATGGTCCACCTGTCTAGATCAGGGCGCCTGGGCAGCATCCCAGCCCATGTAGAATAATGAACCCACGATTACCAGTAATCTCATGACAGATCGGCTGTCGCGTTGTATCATCAGCCGGGTCGCGTTGCTTGCAGCATACAGCAGGGCCGGTAAACGTAAACATGTTACCGCTGACGCCTCCCTTCTTACGGTTTCAAATCCCCCCCTCTAACCTAGCCCACCCTAGTCTGAATAGGACTACAGATGGCTGTTGTTCGTACGCTGGGTGCCCTGTGCATTAATGTATGGTGTCTGTCAGAAACGAAGATACAGGATGCAAGTACTTTAACTGAACTGACTGCCCCCTCCCCGTCTTCTAGGTCTCAGCTGCGGCGCTCTGGTGATGCAGAGGCTGCTACAACTGAATATGTCGGGGTGGATATTGTATCCAGCAGTCGAGCATAAGCGCCTCTACTTGACTAAATACACACTGATAGTCGTCTCTGCGCAAAGCCTGTGAAAAAGGCTCGAGAAAGTGAGGTCCATTGCACTATGTTTACTGTGTTTGCTTACGCCTCAACAGACTATAGCTCTGAATCCTCCAGGGTTTCTATGACGCTCTAGGTGCTCTTTTACAGAGGACTAAAAGCCCGGACATCGTTGGCTGCTAGTGACATGAACGCAAGGTAGGCAGGCCAGGCGCTGCTCAGGCCCAATTGGTTGGTCGTCTTGTATGAGATAAGGAAGGCACGGGCAACAGAAATCGTCTACTTCAGGTGTGTGGCGATTATAGGTTGTTCCTTTGCAACACTAATTTCCGACAGCGGAAATCGCTTGACGACGTGGTGTCCAACAACGAACCAACCCCGAATCCACATAGACCACATCGCCGTCAGTTGCGGGTGGCGATGATCGACCACTAACTGTCGCTCTTTTAGGAATAGCAGCTTGGACTCCAACCATGCGCTGCTGCTACTCAGTTTTTTTTTCAAGTCCATGCAGAAAAGACACCTCGCTTGGCCAGTGAAAGACTAATGGACCCAGGAATCAGACGAAACTTTCAGACCAATCAATCAGTTCAGCTATAAACTGTGTACCGTAGGTACATTGGTTTCAACTGCTACAGTTTCGATGACGGGGAAGTGAGAGAGTGCAAGAGATACGGCCAAGCCTTGCAAGCGATGGTACGTTCAGTTAGTTCACAAGTTGGGTGGCTCTGCATTGAAGATGATAGCTCTGAAGCACGAGCGCCAGATTGCGCAATTGAGCCAATTCTGCCAGTGTCATTGACCACTGGTGAGTTGAGTCCCGGGTTCCTCATCCAGAGAGGTGACAGCTGTCGACCCAACTAAGGTTTCATACTTTGTTGCCAGGTCATACACTGTCCACCACTCGGTCACTCCCAAACAGCACAAGGCTTCGCGAAAAGAGGTCTGCGAAGCAGCTGGTCTTCTGGCATGCAGATTGTATGTTCTAACCAGAGTAACCTATTGGGCGTGAGTAATTCATCCACCGCGGGAGAGTTCCTTCTTCCTAGTACCACCTGGCGTACATCAGTATTGCTAATCCAATGTTCCCACCAGATCTTATTAATGCTTCAGAGATACCAACTGTCAAACATTGACATCTTTCGTACATGCTTTGTGATCCATAAAGCAGCATGGATCACATCGCCGCAGGATAAACTGTGCCACTGACAAACAAACTTACGTCACCTCGGCGACATAGGTGTCAGAGGTTGGCAAAAGCTGTTCTGGCCTTTCCAATTTGAGAAATATTATCATCTCCAGCCAGTCCACCGGGACTTATACAGCTGCTCACGTAAATAGATTTATCTACCACGTTGATTGGCTCATCTGCAAGCATGAGGTGTGGGTTTGATCCCTTCTAGAATTGTAGCAGCACTTTGCACTTTGCAGGTGTGAAATGCATGCCAAACCGTGCGGCAGAGTTATTTAGGTTATTTAAAATCGTTTGCATTTGGGAAGGATCTGAAGCGAGGAGAGAAATATCGTCCGCACACACAATGTCTGTGAGGGAACGTCTCAGAAGCATTTCGACTCCCGAGGTTTCAGAGTAAAGCAGAGAAATTTCAGGCAGCATATCAATGACAAAGTTGAAGAGGAAAGGGGAGAGAGCACAGCCTTCTCTTATACCACTGGATATGGTGAACTCAGGCGAGACCTTCCCGTATACTCGCACGGGACCACAGGAGTTCGTTTACAGTGCCCGCATCAAGAAGAGGAATTTTGAGGGGCACCTTTGATCGCCAGAGTGCCAAAGTTGCTGACGATCGGCAGAACCAAAAGCAGCTTTCAGATCTAAAAAAAACCACCAATGTGTGACGTCTGGAGGAGTTGCGCTGTTCAAGAATTTGTTTCAAGGTAAAGATATGGTCGATGCTTCCTCGACCAGGGATTGATTTTCACGAATCTGTCTCTCCAGCTAAAATTGCGAAAATTGATGGAAATCAATTTTCGCAAAATAATGCCAGAGAGGATACCAGGCTGATACCATGATGACTTTCGCATGACATTCTTGCTCCCTTTTTGAAAACTGGAATGACGGTTGAGGAGCTCCATTTGGCTGGTATTCTGTTTTTGTTCTAAATCTTCTACAGTATAGTTCGATGTTCATGGAGGTCCCTCCTGTTGAGTCGTGGGTGGTGGCTGAGTGATTTAGGAGCTTGAGACAATTTATTGTCACTTTGATAGTCTAGTTACTTGAGTGGGAAAGCCTCAAGGAAGAAGACAAAGGACACCAGATGAAGATCGGCTATATTGCAGATGAACCAATGGAGGAAAGTGCGCTGCGGCTCAGTTGGCTACAACGGAGAGAAAATGAAATCTCAGTGAAACATTACAAAGGGTAGGACTGCTCATTAGAACCTGACCGTCCCAACACCTCCCTTTTCAAAGTGTGCGTACGTTTTCAGGTGTGGAATCACCCGCATTGATGTGAATGGTTTTGGGTTACGACTGGATCACCGTCTTGGTGTGCATACGGATTCGACTGGGGAGTTGTCCGTTTGTACAGGGGCACATGTGTAGATGGCAACTCAAAGGTATCCAACAATATGTCAAGAGGAATTGAGTTATATGATGTAGCAGGTGCAGCGCATCCCGCGCGAAGTTGATTCGCGTGACCGACCCATGTGGTAAACTGTACGTCAACTTCGTATATGACGTTACCCACGCGGCGTTTGATGTAACCATGAGTCCATTTCTCTCCACCGCTGCGATAGTCCTTAGCCAAGACAGAACCACCGGGCTTATAGGCGGCGTGAATGGCACCATGATTATCTGGTGTTTGAGGGATCACAGTCGCTAGTTGCTAGTATGGCTCTTCTGGCAGCAATAAGATCTGTTGACCTCGACGATATCTAATATTCATTTAGTCGAGTCAGGGGGTATGAACAAACAGTTCTGAAAGCTGAGAGCATTGTTTCTTTAGTACGCGTCCATTTAACCTCCAAGCAATCTTCGTCATTCGCATGAGTGTACGTTTGCAGTGGCTTTCTAGCCAGGTCAGATCGACACTCGATTCTGACACTTGTTGAGGTTGATTAATGGACTGCTCTGCACTAGCACGCAGTGGTGTCGGAAAGCGAAGTAATAATCAGGCTTGCACGACATGATCGTGGTCAATTTGCCTACCCCAGAAGGAATTATAATATTTATTTGGGCCTCTACATCGGTAATTGATATCCACATGGGCCAATCGAGTCCATGACTGTCTTGCGATTGGCAGCCTCCAGGTAACTCGACTCTAGCATGTGTTGAAAGTTCTTAATGACCAGAAGCCGACCATGATCTGCACACAACACCACTATCCGCACCCACAGCACCGACTGCAAGGCTGCCAATTAACTGTGCTTCCTTCGGGTTTATTCGTCCAACTTGAGCATTCATATCACCCGCCAAAATGACTATATTCATTCTTCATGCTGACTGTCCGAAGGACTGCCACCCCTAATAACCGAGGAAGTCGATTCATGACGAAAAGCACGGCATTTGGACGGGTACATCACGCGCGGGCTACGG